AATTTCATTCCGTACACCGCGTAATTTCAGTTTTTAATTGATGCCGGGGTATTAAGAATTATCTGGAATATTACTTGCGAACGTAGCAAACAATTTCATCTAGTATCTTCAAAGATATACGCCAGTGTCGACCGTATTCCACGGCATTTTTGTTCCCGCTGCCATATCCAAGCACGGAAGGTCGGTTGATATTGGGATTGCTACTTCCGAATACGGGGGTGGAAACACCACGGAAAGAGGTACGTGCGCCTGTATACACGGATGCATACACGATATATACTTCCACGTCTCGCTGCAGTAAGTTGGCTTCAAGTTTCGTGCAGAGTATCGAGAGATCGCTGAAACTCAAAGGTCTTATAGAAAGTATCGATACGAATCGCAGGAACTTTATGTAATCTAGATCGCATATATCGGAGCCCGAATGTGTGCATTACACTTACGTCGAAGCCATCGATTGACGCTCACGGATTCCATACGTGTTTGTTTGGAACAGTACGGTAATTCACGCTTTCGAGCGACGAATTTTACACTGAATTCGAGCAACAGGAATCATCCACCCGATTGCACGGCTAGATTTCCTGAAATATGGTCGAAATTCGAACAATCAATTTACTTATACTTCGGATACGAGCTCAATGATCCGTTCCGAAAAATAATACAAATATAAAAATGATTTTATAGATACCGCGTGTTTCAAAGCATAAACGAAAGGTTTAGTTATTTACGATGATTTTAATTAAGCGAGACTTGGAAGTAGTCTTCATCGTTGTATATTTCGTAATTTTTTTATTCTTGCAATCACACACAACCAGTAAATTGGAAGCTATTGGATAAATTCATTAATTCTTGAATATTAACTAAACCCTCTATTTGTAAATGCATACTTTCGTAAAAATTCAACCAAAATAAAATAATGATACCATATTGTCGACAATGCCAGTGAAATTTCGTTATTATTCGTATTAATATCGTGAAATATGTTGTGCACATTTTCGATAAACATTTATTCCAAGAATTTTTTCGTCCAACATAAAAATCGCTCGTTTGCGAAAAACGAAACGAGAGATGTGTATCGATGATTCAATTGACGATTATTCGGTGATTAAACTTTTTATTCATAAATTCCAACGTTCGTTTTATCATACCCTGATCTCGTTTCTGAAAAATTCGCTGGGTTAAATCTGTCAACAATCCCGAATAATTAACTTAAAAAAACCGTTCATTATTTTCAAGTAAAACATTTTTTGATATTTACTTGTCGTTTATGAAGTAACTAAAAGTTTGGTTCGCTTTTTACGCAGTCTCTTTTATTTTTCTTGCGAATGCCAGCGGTGATGAAAGAGGTGGCTGCTAATCACTAGAAATTTCGTGTAAATTTATGAGCATAAATTCCCTCTCTCGTATGGTCCACCTTTGGTGTTCGTCTTATTGCACATAGAGTTCTCTATTGTCGATAATTAATCGTCCGCGGTCACGGTCGGCAACACCTAGTCTTGGTATCGTTGTTTCTTTTGGATTCGTTAATTAAAAGTTTAATTAAAACCACGTCAATTAATCAGAATTCCGTTTCGGAAAAAGGAATAGTTCGCTCGGGTAACTGTCAGTGGCGGTGGCCTGTTGCTGCTACGTAACAAAACGGGCAATTAATAAGCCGCCTCGGGAAGAAAATTTGTCGTACAAGTGACGTCTGTATGAAGTCTCCGAGAAGCGAGTTTATTGTTCGAAAAACTTCGAATTTCGCCAGTACCGTCTTGTATGCCAAGAGTTTGACGTATCGGTCGCTTTAATCGTGTTTCTTCAATTTCTTCATTAATACACTCGATTCTCTTTTTACTTTCCGACTTATAAATGAGAAAAATATAGTAATCGAGAAAAAATTCGATAAATACGTTTTCCATTTTGAAATCAATCTGTTCGTTTATTCTTGTGATATCATGGTCATCAATTTGAAAAACATGTTTTCGAGAAAAACAGGTTTAAAGTTTCGCGTGCATTTAACATTTGTCGACAAATGCGTTTCTGTGGATACAACTGCCTTGCTTGTTTATACATATGACGAATGGTTGAGATTAATAACGTTCTTTGTTCCATTTTCCCTTTTCTCTTTTCTATCGACCGCGATGATGTTTGTTAGTGACGTTATTTATCGTTACATACTTTACCAACAAGCTAACGATTCGACGTGACGATTTTTCACTTCCAAACAGCCTGATCGCCACCGCCACACGGTTATACACTCGTGTAATGCCAAATAGACATTTCGTTTAAAGATCGGAACAGTTATGAAACTTCTTCAATAGGTTCAATTGCAACAGTTGAAATGGAACTTTTATAATAAAAGTTCTCACGTTATAAGTTTCGATACGAACAGATAAGTAAAAGTTCTTGAAAATAGAAGTTCGAGATTCAATAAAATTTTTAAGAAATAGAAATAAAGCTTCATGCGTTTCAACGACACCTGTTGGCTCAAATTTCGCACATAAGCGTCTGAAACGGAGCATGAGAATTGCATAAAGAGTTGCAGATTTGTTGTCGATCGATGTATTCTAATCCATTTTGTCTTTTATGATAAGAATTCTAAGTCAAATTCACTTGTATCGTTGCATTAAAAACAAGTTATATCGTCAGAGGATAGTTCTCGTGGCTGGATTCAATATTTCCCTGTATCAATTTTTTGTATCTTCTCTTAGAAAAAAGTTACAGCTTGCCCCACTTTCTAGAAGTACTCAGTATAAATATTGTGCAACAAAACCTACTGCTGCAAAGATGAGTTTTCAAAATTCTCTCATATTGCAAAAAAACGACTCCGAACGTACGCGCGAAATTGAAACGGAATCCTCCAAGAAAAGTAATATTGAATTTTTGCCATGGCAACCTCAGAGTTCTTTCCTAGATTCAATTGAACATTTATGGGATGATTTAAATGGAACCGTAGCTGAACGTTGGGGAAACTATCAATAGACGTTTTAAAAGATAGAAACACTATTTTTATGCTAGGCGTGTTCATTATTTCTAAATGTCTACAATCAGTCAGTTTACAGTTTGTTAAGTTATTTTCCTCGCAACAACTAGTAATAGATATGATTAATTTAATTGTTTTAACTTTTAGGTAAGTCTGTCTGCGCCTTTGTGAAATGACGTTTTCTTTTGCACTTGCCTTCTCACGGTCTTGGCAGTTTCCTCTCAGAAAAGTGCTTGCAAGCATTGCAGCTAGCTTCTTCAGGGATCAAATAACATTTTATCCCTAAAGCATCGGTGTACCATTTGATCTCTAAAGAAGCTGCAACGCTTGCAAACACTTTCCTAAAAGGACACGTCTTACACCAGGGAGCTTCGATCGGTATCAATTTATAAACGAGCATTATAACAAAATTGTCGACCGACGCAGGTTAGATTACCTTCGTGTAGTTTGCAAGGAATCCAAAACCTCGATAACGTTTATTGTTTGCTTGTTAATACTAATAAACGTGTTAAAGAGCGATTAAAATTGTGGCGGTGGTCCGGCCTGAAACGATGGCCAGGAGATGCATACGAAAACTCTATCGGGGAATAATTAGCCCGCTTTGTACATCGAGCAATATTAGCGAGTTCGCTGAGCCTTCGTAGCTCCGGAACACAGTTAATCGAATTAGCTTTGGTACCTAGAAGTAACGAAGTCGAAGGGGGAGGGGGTATGTAGAGTGTGACCTCATTAATACGTTGCTCCCCAAGAAGTTAGATGCGTTCTCGGCGAGCGCAAATAAATTTCACCGGCTACGAGGGGGCCTTGAAGTTTCTTTGGAATTGTTTTACAGCACCCCGCGGACTTTGACGCTTTCTCTCTCTTCGGGATTACGCGACCGTTGTGCTTTCTCTTCGCTTTACGCTTCCTCGTTTCTTGACTTACTGTTACACGCGGCCACGTTCCTCTCCCGTGGAAAATTCAAGCGATCGATCAGCGGTAAATTGGATTTTATTAGAGAAAAAGTTCCGTATTTGATTATTAATGCTTCAAGGCAGCCGTGGCCCCCCTTTAATTAATGATTTAACGAGAATTTATGATTGACTTTTTGACTTCTTTCGTCGTTCGTCCGATTTTCGCTATTGAGGAACGACTCCCGTTTCGAAGGAAATTGTTTTCAAATAGGATTGTTGTATTTTAATATCGTCGAGTTTTTCCATACGCACCACTGAATTTCGTTTAATTAAAGTTGGAATAAAAAACGACGAATATCGTTGAAATACAATTTATTGTTTAAAATACCTTCTCTCTAAATTTTACCCAGCCCTGCTGAAACATCGATTTTAACAAAGGTTTAGGAAATTTAAAAACATTTCGTGATGAATGAGATTTTTAATAATGAATAAATATTTCGAAATTAGTTTAGGTTACATTAAAATATACGTTGCTTTGCATTGTGAAAATTCAAACTTTATTGAGAAGAAACGTAGTCAAAATATTCATTATACAGAGATTAAATTAGAATTTATCTTCAAACAAATACTTATCTTTCTCTCATCTTATTTCACTATCAAGGTTGACTTATCAACATATTTTTAGATCACTCTGTGTACATAAGATGTCTGACAATTTTCCACTCAAAACGTGTCAGTCTCACATTCCATCTTCTGCATCTGGCTTACTTCTAAAAATGAACAATTTTTCTCGTAGTTTTATTTTATTATCGTTATTATTAACCGTCTTCTAATGTCAAATAATGTAACGATGAGGTACAAAAACTGTCTTTAAACTTGACTTATATCATTAGGCCATCGCATAGCTAATGTCGTTTTTGAAGTTCATTGTAACTGTGAAAAAATTAAAAATTATAACTTTTAATCGTCAGTATATTGGTTAAAAATATTTTGGAACTTTTCACAATCAACATTGTTGAATAATTAGCCAAATAAAACATTTTACAACGATAAAAATAAATTGGAAGGTTCTTTCGCGATTCATTACAAATAGTCGTTTATCTACATACCACTATACGTACAGTAACATCGTTTTCTATTTCGTGTTATCCAGTGTCGTTTACGTTTGGAATTTTTTTATACAATTTATTCTTCATCGTTGGTAACAATTCGTTTAAATGATTGTATTTCCGGTCTCGCAACGGAGCACAAATGTTCACGCGTTGGATACATTTCGGCACTGACAGTTCGTGTGGAATCCATTTTCCGAATCTCGATAATTTTCCAGTCTTTGCTAAATCTTGATGCGTATTAGTGCAGGTAGAATTCAGTCTTTTTGCTATTTCATCATTGGTTAAACGTGGTTCTACTTTGAGTAGAGCCTTCAATGCTTCCTCGTCGAGTTCTAGCGATCTCGACTCATCGGGAAAGTTCAGAATACCGCTTTGAAATCTCGAGAACCACTGTTGACACTTGCTTACGTCTAAAGTATGCTCACCGTACACCTTACAAATATTTTTAACCGCATCCGCAGCCGTGTTGCCCTTTTTGAATTCGTACAACATGCAATGCGTCAAATGGATTTCGTTTACGTCCATTTTCTGATTGATTTAGAAAAGTACGCGCGTTGATGCTTCGAGCGCTGGATTTAGACTGAAGAAAGAATTTTGAAATTCGTCATGTAGTATACGACGGGCAAACAAGATATCTGTGTTTATTTTCAGACGTGATGAAAAACGACATTATTTATGGGACGAGAAGTAAAGTATAATACTTGGACAAAACATCAGGCTTTTACCACTAGCATACCGCGTGCATTATTTGTTTGTGTCAGAATTGAAAATTGTGTATTGACTAGGTTGTGTATTTGGTACTGTGATATATTACAATTTATTAGCCTGTTTGGTCATTGCAATAGTGTATCACTTCATGATCATATAGTCGCAATAAAAATAATTAGTAGCCACTACTAAATCATTTAATAAAGTCACAAAATTATAAATCAAACAGCAACAAAGACTGTCTGCTGGGGTATCTTGATATTAATAAAGCCTTTGATAAGCTTTGAAACGTTGGATTTTTATACAAACTAATGGATTTATTTCTCAAACAATTCTATCTTTAATTAAAATTTTATCTTGGAGATACTTTCAAGTCAAGTGGAGAAACATAGACTCTTATCATGATTAAACCAGCTGTGGTGTATTTGTAATGTACACCTTTGTTATGTCAACTAGTCCTAACACGACAAGAGCAATCTTTGCCAATAATTCAGCTATAATGGTAGAAGATGAAAATCCGCAAAAAGGGACAAAAGAAATAAACAAAAGTATCACTTGCAGCAAAAGAGACAGTGAATTAAAATAGAGTTCAGAAAAATATTCTGGCTACTGTCTCTATAAATGGAATACAATTATTTGAATCAAAGACATTGCTTATCATATTAAATGTACCGTTTTGCAACCAGTTACACAATTCACAAATATCTTAATACAAACTATGTCACTAAAGAAATTCAAAAATTTGAAAAATCTATTACGATAAGTTCCGACAATATTTGAACGCTCAAGAGTGCAAATAACCACCTTGCAGTGAGAAGATAAGAGTAAATTGCCTGTGAATTTACTTCCAATACTTTCGTAACCATTCAAATTTGGTTATATTAGGAAGTGAATATTTATTGAGAAGTAAATGATCTCCGACCATTAATATAATATAATTTTCATGTATAATAATACAATAACATTTATTTGTCAATGAATATTCACTTGCTCATATAACCAAATGTGAATATTTATTAAAAAATTCAAACAAACAAAATTGTTAATAGATTTGATTTACGTCCACCTTTTGGCACAAAATAAGTTGTTTCTGAAGAGGTAATGCATCGACGATAGTCTGTATCTGTAGCTGTGGCTCTCGTATACTTATTCAATGTATTAAGTCTAATCACCAAATATGAATCGAACTTTAAGCAGATAATGCCCGAACTATAATTCTACAAGTCATGTACAAGTAACTAATAGAAGAAAAAATATTGATATTTAAAGAGTAATTAAAATTTAGAAGGCATTTTTTTAGTCAGAGATATTTATAGCATTAACTGTATAAATATACAGAGTGATGCACGAAAAGCGTGACAACCAAATATTTCCAAAACCCAATATTGGTGTATATTTTTGTTTATTTTATATAAAATAGTTCGTTTCTGAAAATGTGGAAAAAAGAATCAGTGAATAGAATAATCTTAGAATTCCCTACAAACGTCCCGAGGCCTGATACTAGACTCTTTGACGGCACGATAACGTTACTTCGATCCAACGTGTATCTTCTAGTAAGCATCCTCTAACATTTAGTTACGTCTTAATTAACTTAAAAAGTACTTTTTTTCTGTTTGACTAAAGCATCAAGTGTTCATCGTAAAAGTATTACGCATTGGCGATTGCACAAACGGTGCCTTATCTACGCACAGTTTCGAAGCAGTTTCGCGGGGAAACGAAGTGTCCATTCTAAATCAAACAATCGGTATCAGAAAACGATGGGTCCGAGTATCTCGATTTGGCCTGCAGCGCGCTTCTCGACCACGAGAACTTCAGGATGATCGTTACGGCGTTTGTATAAACTCGATGGTACGCGCCATCGGTAAATTTTCTTCGCGCAGGCGCGCTATCGCGGTCTGGTTTTTTCCCCTGAAACGACATAAATCACCGAACTCGTTTTCTCGTCACTTCTAGAAAGTATATCCGACAGATTTACGGGTGGATGTATAAATTACTAGAACCGGGATGTTTGTCGAAGCGGTGCTCTATTGAATCGTTTACTTGCATCCGCTCTCGCCGCGTGCACTCCGCCTCCCTTGGTCCGTCTGTCTACCTGTCCTTTCAAGCTACGATAGCAGAAGCCGTGTTTGTCGAAGTATCATTCGCGAGCGCTACCTCAAACACATCAAAATGCTTATTTACGATCGCGTGCAAGCAACGAACGCGAACGAAATCGTATATAAATTTGGTATTTCGCCATACGGACGCAGCCCAACGGATTTCTCAGTATGGCGACCGTCAGTGCCGATCCAGCTTGTTGTCTGACCGACTCCAGGTCGAAAATCAGTCCTATCAGCAACAGACCCGCTGCGCTTCTCACCGATTCCGATATCGTCAAGATCGTCGAACGTAAACTTCGTTCGAATAACTTTCGCATTTTGCACTGGAGTTTGGATAACCTAGGGGAGGTGAATGGATACTTAGGATCGTATTACACGTTATCGGTGACGGTGAAATTCAACAACAAATCAAAGGAACTGAAGTTTTTCGCGAAAACACCGCCGCCGAGCACCAGCCCCCAGTACGAGTTCCTCGTACGTTACAACACGTTCAACAAAGAGATGATAGTCTACAGCGAATTAGTGCCTACGATGGGCATAGGAAACAGCCTGAAATGGATACCAGATTACTATCTAGGGAAAAATAATGCTATAATGGTCCTGGAGGACGCGAAGCAGTCGGGTTACGTTACGCCCGACAAGTTCGTGCCGTACGACGAGGATCATTGCATCTGGGTGACGAAGGCTCTCTGTATATTGCACTCGAGATCCTTGATCCTGGACGAGAAGCTTCGACGTAGCACCGGCCAAACAGTCATGGATCTTTACGGACACCTGCTGGAGGAGATGGCTTTCGTCCAGGACGACGTGTCGGCTCGGAAATATCTCGCATCGTGTACCATCGGCGCGCACACGATGGTCGATCTTATCGAGGGTCTGAGCGACGTCGAGAGGACGACAGTGAAGAATCGGATCTCCAGGTGGGTCGACAAGATTCCCCAGTTGCTGAAGACGACGAGTAAATACAGGAACGTTATGTGCCATCGGGATGTATGGGCGAACAATATGATGTTCAAGAGAGATTCAACGGGTAAGCCGATCGGTTGTTACCTAGTAGACTATCAGTTCCTGAGATACAGTCCACCGGCAATCGACTTCGTCTTTTGTCTTTACCTGACGACCGATCGCGACACCAGGCGTCGTTGCTTCGACTCGCTGGTCGAGATTTATTGCGATACGATGCGACGAGAACTGGCCGACGAGGGCCTCAACGTCGACGACTGTTTACCCCGCGCCGATTTCATCGAATCTTGCGACATGGCCAAGCAGATAGCGTTGATTTTCTCCGTCACGAACATGCAAATCATGCTGCTAACGAAACAGGCGTCCGAGAAGTATTTCGTTAAGAACACCGACCAGCTGGAGTACGTTTTGTACGGTGACCAACGATCGGAGCTGGTCCTTAGCCAGTGCAAAGCCGTAAAGGCTTATCAGACACGTATCATCGAGATAATAGAGGAAATCAAAGACCACTTGCCCGACAACCCGCCGAATTGTTAGCTCGCGAGAAGGAACAGGGATGCAGAATGGTCTCGTGAGTGTCCTCGTTTGTACCTGCATTACAATCTGTGATAAAGGACTTTGGAACGGAGCCAACAAAGAGGAGGTTGCCCTTATTTCTGGATCCACGATTCGCGGATGTGTCGTTTAGTCTTGGAAACTTGCTGGAGCTCGCAGGAAAGATTGTGGCCGACCAAGGCCAATCGATAGAAAGTGACTTTTTAACATTGTGGTACGGTGGAGCCTAGATTGCACCGCTCAACAAATTTTAAATAATAATTTATACTGAGAAACATTATTTGGCTCTAGTTTGACAAATACTAGGAAGGATTTATTCAATTCAAGTACAGTGGATGCTAAAGTAATACTAATCGGGATAATAGTATTTATTAACCATTCATAGATTATAAAATCATAGTTTTACTGAAACATTTTTTGCAATGTTCCAGCGATAGGCTGCTAAAAGATTGTAAAAATGCACTTTTTTGGGTACGACAAAATTACCAGTTTTAGTCCCAGTATCGAATACTTATTAATCGAATAAAACGATCACTTTGGCAAGGAATACATATTTTCCATTCACCAGTGTTATCGAAACGTGATTTATGACTAGAAAGATCGAATCTTAAATCCACCTCCTCCAGCTTGTTTATGTTATCTTTGGAAAGCGACCTTTAAAGACAAGTATATCACGAGGGAAGTTAGGAATATATTTTTTTTAGTAAATTCTATTTTATCGGTACCTTGTAATTTTATAAAATTATATATCTAAATCTATATATCGAGTTCTCGATATATCTGGTGCTACGTATTTATTGTATACTATTATTGTAGTAATCAAATGCTTTTTACATGCATGATTTTCGTAGTTAGAATAAATTACATTTTATTCTTTTACGTGACGCTTCTGTTACACATTTGTACCTCCCTCTTCCGTTTGGCTCCTCGTTTTACTTCGTTTTGCTATACAATTGGATCGTTCATATCACAGGAGTTCATTAGTTCTTCCAAACTAGTTATTGATTTTTCGTACAAATAACCGAAGTTCACGTTTGAATAAGTGGATTCAATCACCCTGGAGTTCAGTTAATCGGATACGGAGTCAAATTTCGTTCGAATAAATGAAGTTCCACCGCGAAAGCATTCATTTCCATTCTATTTAGTCGTCTTCTGAGAGGCTGAATCGTTTCGAGCAGTGTGTTCCGCGGTAGATTGTAACTCCCGATGCGAGAGTCGCGCGAAACAACTTTTCGCGCGCACGCAACGATCGGATCGCGGTGTGTATTTTGCAACAAAAGTTGAAAACGCCAAGTGGCTGGTATTTTTCTATTAACACGTGTACGCTCGCGCGGCAGGGGTTTTAAGGTAGAACTGCTCGTTGGTTATAATTGATGACGAGCGTAGCACTTTGAATAGAAACGAACACACAAGAGCCTTTTGCTCGGGAATTTCGTCCCGTTCGTATTCCACGTTCATGCTGCCGCATCGTTTCTCTTTATTCCCCACTTCAGATTTTGCCGGCAGTAATGCGTACGAATAAAGCAAATACGTCAACCCGCGGTTTCCATCGCTATGTATTATTTTCCAACCCCGTTTGTTATGATTTGTTCTTCTTTTTTGTTTTTTTTTTTAACAAATTGCTCGCCATTCCTCGGTCCTCCGTGGCTCGTTGGCGAACTCTGCGTAACGTTTCAGCGTAATTATTTCATTCGGTCGGACTTTATACGGCCACGCGCATACGCCCGCGGCTTTGTTAAATGGAGAATCGTTAAGAAAGCTAATTTTCCGCTTAAAACCATTGTGTGATATGGAGCTTTGCCGGCTTAAACGGCGTCATCGTTCCCTGTTAGACGAACTCCGTCGTAAAAGAGAAAAGGGATTACGGCCGGTAATAAACTTTGCAGAAACCGTGCAAAAGGCGGAAAGATAGGGATGTCTAATATTTAAAGTAACATTACGCCGTGACCGACATATAGGCTCGCTGCGTTTCATGTTCGGTACGAGCAGCGAAATAAGTTAACAACTTTTGGTATTATTAGCAGCGCATAACGTATCGTCAATTATTTTCTTATAAAAAAATCTAAACGAAATAACTAATAAATATGTTTCATGAAAATAGCGAAAGGGTCTATATATTTTAAACGACTCAGATATACTATTCAGGGATCGCAAGTTGTTGAGGAATCAAATTTTTTTCTTTACTTACATAATTATAATTACCTGTACGATACTTTTAATCATTGGCGTCTAATTTCTTTCTATTTTGATATTTTAAATACCTTCAGATAATGTTATTTACTGTTATAATACCGTTTCACTTTGGCACTTTATTGGCGGAATCACCGAATTCCTAGCCAGAAAACTTGCTTAATGGTTCGCATCGGAACGACCCGGCCTTAAAGCGTTAAAAAGTAATCGGAGATAGAAACAACGATCGTGTCGAATTGTTCCGTACGCGAACTTATTTTCCAGTGATAATCAAACGAGCTGTATTTCCCGTTTGTCGAACGGTGACAGGCTAGTTCTGTTCAACGGCTTGTGACGTTATGTCACACTAAAGGCAGAAGTTCGTTTTATGGCCAGCAATTCGAAGCGGCCGTAATCGTTCCTATGCCGAGCTAATAACATAAGCGTGGAACGTAAATTGGGTTGCCCATCGATAACAGAGTTGCTACGATTGTACAGTAAACACAATTTCGCGCGACGGTTGAACACATTGTTCGAGCACGGCTTTTAATGTTTATTTTATTTCCAGCAATTGCGAATTGTTTCTTTCGACACGGGAACTGCGCCGGGTTGAAAAATACGATGCATACGAATGGCGTACGAACTTTCGCCACTTTGTTCGAGAATAGAAAATAAACAACGAGATCAATAAAAGAGCTGCGATATAACATTACATCAATCGTTGAATGTTTTGATCGGCTATTGTTACATTCGTGAGAATATTCGAAGCACAAAAGATTCTCCGGTACAAAGAGTCGCCTGTGATATGATTTTTATAAAATCTTTAGACGTAAAGATTTATTGCTTATTTTAACATTCCAACGTAGGAAATAAGTCTTCGTCTATATTTTTTACGTGATTGTTTAGACGTTCGAGGGTTAATTAAAGTTTCCCTTCTCCATTAATTTTGAATCAGTTAAAATAATCACAATACAAGTTTGTTATTTATAAAATTCAGATTCCAGAATTTAAGATCCAGAAATTATTATTTTTCCTTTGAGTTATACATCGGGTTTCTCATTTGACGTTTTCGGAGCCAATTCCTTAGAAACCAGTTACTCCATCATCACAGACAGAATTATTACGTGCAATAATTATTGCATCTCAACAATCCGTACACAAAGCGAAAATAGTTATCGCTCTAAGAGGGGAATCATGCTGCGGGCTGTACGATTCGGAGCGATCAGTGCAAAATTACCATCCCACTGAGAGCAATACCGCACCAAGCTTGTTAATCACAGAAGCTTAGTGTTTCTCGTATGCTCATTATACTTCACGGGCCACGAGCTTTCCATCGAACGCTGTAGAATTATCATCGATCAGCCAATAGCATTGCGATTCCATTATCCGCATCCTTGCGGAGCTCGGACTGACTAACCTCCGCTCGTAAACAGGAGTCTTCCTATAACCGTGCTACCTCGACTATATTACTTTGGGGATTCTATCCGTGTCTGCGGATGCGTTTCCTGACTAACAGAGCTATTTAAAAATTCATTCGAAGCTCTCGCGAAAGATCAGCCTGAGACAGGACTCTCGAACGTGGTGAAACATTTTGCATCAGTTTCCGCGTAATAGCCTATCGACTGTATTACTGGAAAGCGACGATAACACTGGAACAACCGGCCTCGGATATACAAGGTGTTCCATAATTCACTGGTACCCTTAACAGTCCGCTACCGATGCCAGATTATTTCCGACCTCGGTTGAGATGCAATATTATTGTTCGGTTGCAACCGTGTTAATACAAAATACATTGTGTTACTGAGATATTCGCGTTAAAAAAGTGATTAGATGATTACATGAACTCGTAAATTCGTAGTTTGAAAGAAAGACTTCGGACTGAAATAATTTAAATTTTGAGCTTAAAATTTTATAAAACAAATCCTGGTGAATTGGAAAATAGTAAAGCTCGACAATTGTTTTGTTCATTTATTCTACACTTGCTCTGGCTGAAGTCTGTTTTTTTCGAATTTTTTGGTAATTTAGGAAAATGGAACAATGCATGCTTGCGAGATCCGTTTTGTTGTTTTTGCTGAAAAATTTTGTGCCAGAAAAATAGTGCTATACACAGAGCACTGATTGGAAAAGCGATTTGTCTAGCTACAGTGGCATCACGTGTCATTTCGAATAGATTTGGCTTACGTCATGTTAGAAATTGTACAAAATTAAGTAAGTCTTATTCAATTTTAACGAAAATTTTTGTTGTATTTATCTTAAATATAGAATCATCCATATCAGAAAAGGAAGTGTTCCATTATTCGTAAATTTCCTTAACTGATAAATAATACAGGCACCGGTGTTCCTTTTTTTTTGTAAAAATAGGAACGTTTCATGCGCACCTTTTCACGAGTAGCGCGGATAGGTATTTTTCAACCGAATGTGTATCTTGGGCAATGCAAATGTCGGCGGCATAAATTAGATTTCATGCTAAATAGCGAAAATGCAGAGTTCTATTTAAATTGTCATAACTCTGGGGGAAAAGGTCGTTGCTTTATTTAAAAAAATATAGTATTAAAGTGGGAACTCGAAAGTTTAATGCTCCGGAGATAAAAGTTACGGGAGAAGATTTTTAATCGCGTACGTGGTATCAAAGTTGAGGAATTTTAAATGATTTTATACGTCTGGAACAGCATCGCTAGATAAATTGCTTCGCAGGATTTGAAAGCTGCTGCTTCATATTTCAAAACGCCTTCTCTTTGACATAGTTGTATAGCTTTCTTTTTCAGAAAATTATAGCACTTTGACACGTTGACTTTACTACATTTATCCCTGTCTAGGTTCATCCTCGACATTTTTAGAAATCATAAAGTGATAAATTGAAATATTCAATAGTCGAGTACTTGTTATTTTGTAGTAATACTGATACGAAGTATTATATTAATATTTACTATTTTCCAGTTGATTTAAAGTGTTTCTTTAATTTTGTTGCGAAACGTAGTTGTTATGTATATTAACGTAACATGATTTTAAAACACAATTTTGTTATATTCTATACATACAAAATACAAGAGGTATAAATAATTTTTTCAGTAGTTATAAATGTTCGTATACAGAGTTGTATACTGTGCTAATATTTATGTTCATCGACACCGGAGGTCAATACAT